AGCTCGCAGGCTGACCCGGGGCCTCGAAAGGTGACCCGCGTGCCCTTCACCTCCTGGGCCTCAGTTTCCCCTGTCTAGAGTGAGTGAAGACTCGCCAGGCCCGGCCGAGTGTGCGGGTGCCCGTGGGACAGGACACCCTGGGACGCCCAACGGCTCGTCCGGCGCCCGCAGTCTAGGGACACCCTCAGCCTGGGTCTCTGGAAACGCTGAGACCTGGAAAATTCACAGAACACACGAGGAAAACTGCAAGATAGAAATGGATGTTTCATTAAATGCTTCTGTATATAATACGTCAACTTTAGTAAATGTTAGATTCAGTATTTGTAAAAATTTCATTAATCAGGAAACCACTTGTAGGCTAGTTTTCCTCGCTTTGGGAGAATTCTGTGTGGGAGGAAGTTGGCCCTCATGGCCAGAGGATTTTTAAAGTAAAGTTACAGGAGAAAAAAAAGACTTGATCTGAGATATAGATGCCCTTTACTGTTTAATTTATTGCCTCAGAGAGCCTAGGCCTGAGCATTCTTTTTTTCAGAGACAGAGTCTCACTCTGTCGCCTGGGTAGAGTGAGGTATCGTCAGCCTAGCTCACTGCAACCTCCAACTCCTGGGCTCAAGCAATCCTCCTGCCTCAGCCTCCTGAGTAGCTGGGACTAAAGGTGCACCACAATGCCTGGCTATTTTTTCTGTTTTTTTTGTAGAGATGGACGGGGTCTTGCTCTTGCTCAGGCTGGTCTCGAACTCTTGACTTCAAGTGTTCCTCCCACCAGGGCCACCCAGAGTGCTGGGATTATAGGCGTGAGCCTCCGTGTGCGTGCTCGCTAGCCCGCTGGCCTGAGCATTCTTACATCAGCCCTGCCCTCTGGCCCCCGTGGCTGGGGCTGCTCTGGACATTGTCCCCATCATTCCATGAGCAGGATTCAGGCTGCCCAGAAGGGCCGATTACAGAATCCTCAGGCCTTTGTGGATTCCAAGAGACCCTCGGCTGAGGGTTCCATCCCCACAGCCCCACCTCTGCATCCTGCCCCTTCCCCATCCTCTGATGAATGTCAGCATCTTGCAGATCCTGGCCCACCCCCACCTGTCTCCCTGGCCTCTCCGCACAGCGTTCGGGCATGGTGGCCATCCCTCTGCAGGGTGGGCTCAAATCACAGGCTCTGGAGTCATACCCCAGAGTTATCCAGTCCAGGGGGTCCTGCGTCTTAGCGACACAGGCTCAGGCAAGGACCTAGCTCCTTGTGCCTGCCTCAGTTTCCTTCAGTGTAAACATAGAGATGACAATGGTGCTGACTGCACAGGGTAGCTGTAAAGTGCTTGGCACGGTACCAGGCGCACGGGTGGCTGTGACTATGACCACACCAGTTACAGGATGGTTACTTTCTTGTTTGAAGCCCAGTGTGGAGGTGGACGCTGGAAGTTGAGCTCACAGGGCTCTAGAGAGAAGGCATGAGCCCCTGGCCCCAGGGAGGTGCTTGCTTGTGGGCGTCTGGCTGGTCCCCACTGCAGGTCAGGGGAGGGGCGTGGCATTGTAGAACGAACTCCAGAATGGGCCCCAGAGAGGTAGGATCCGGTTCTGCCATTGAGGGGCTTCTTGGCCTTGGGCCACCTCCTCTCCTGCAGAGTGGAGGGAGATGCTTGCTCTGCCAGCTTGAGAGGGGGCCAGGAAGGAGGGTGCACTTTTGAAAGCAAAAAGCTGTGTGTGTTTCCTGAAAACTTCTCTCTTTCTTGCTGGTAGATTTTGTACCAGCTGAATCCTGGGGCGCTGGGGGTGAACCTGGTGGTGGAGGAAACAGAAACCAAAGCTAAGCACGTGATAAAGCAGGTGAGAGGCCAAGCCCGCGGCGACCTGCGCGCAGGTGCTGTGACTTTCCCACACCAGCTCGTCATCCCCGTGCCGGAGCTTCCCGAGCACGCTGCACTCTCTTCCTCTCTGCCAGACTCACAGACACAAATCCGGTCTGGGTAGAAGTGAGACTCCCAGGTCTCCCACTGGCTTGTCTCTGTCACCTTGACAGGACAGCTGATTTGCTTCAACACCAACACCTGCCATTTGCTGCTGCACGCCAGCCATCAGCTCCTTCAGTCTTTCCTCAGCCCTGCAAAGCGGGAACAGTGACCTTGTTTTACAGCTCCAGATAGCCAAGGTCACCCAGTTGCCAAGAGGGTTTGAATTCAGGCCACCTCACAGGGGGGACACGGTGCTATTCAGTGCAGGGTCACCAGTTTTACCGAAAAGGAGGTGGCCCAGAGAGGGTAGGGACTGGCCCAGGGTCACACAGGGCTAATGTCATGTACTGGGCCCTGGGCCCTTCCACCACACTTCTCACCAGAGCTAGCACGGCAGGTGGGGGTGCAGGCCTGCAGGAGGATACTCCTGTGTGTCCAAGAGAGGGTGGTCCCGATGCACAGGGGATCTAGGGCAAGAGAGCTGCTGTAAGAGTCCCTGGCACACCCTCCCGTCTGTGTGTTGGCAGGGACACAGCGGGCCCAGGGGCTGGCCGTGCAGGTGGAAGAGCCTCCCTTGCCGCTGCCGCAGGCCTCCTGCTCCGGCCTCACAGGCCAGGGGGGCGGGGTGGCCGACCACCTTCCTCGCGATTAAGGAACTTTGTAAAAACCCGGCTGTTTCTTTCTAAATAAAAATTGGGAGAGGGGAGTGCGGGTAGGAGTTTGCGTACCCTTCCAGTGTTTCTTCTGAGCATTTGTAAATTTCTGTTTTCACAAGAACAGTGTTGTTGGAATTTATGGCATACTTTTTCTCACTTAATACATCGCGGACCTCGGCCCACGCCAGTCGCAGCCGCCTCCTCCCCTGGTTTGGCAGCTGTGTGGCTCCGTCTTGCGGGATGTGCTGCCAGCGCCCGGACCCGCCCCTCACGTAGGATGAGTGTTTAGCTTGCTCTCAAGTTTGCACTACGTGTAGACAACTCTGATAAATATCCTTATGGTTAATTTTTTTGACCATCTGTGAATTCCTAGGAGCGAGATTACTGGGTGAAAGATTAAGAGATTGAGGCTTTCAGAGTGTTCTGGCCAGCTTCACCCACTCGTAAGCCCCCTGGGACAGGAGGAAAGGAAGACAGGAAGATTCGCTCAGGGTGTCTGCCCTGCCCTCCACAGGACAGAGCCACCAGCATCTGGGGTTTTTAATGGATCTGGGAACAATTCACTAACTTTATATTATGGTCTGCGGTCGCTACAATTACAAAAGCACTTCATTTGTAAGTTCCCTGAGCAAAATTTCTGGGTAAGGATCTGGTATTAGATCCGGCGATGGTACATACCCAAGTCTGTGCTACTGAGTATGCTGCAGACTCAAAACCCTGCGCCACCCGAACCACACCCCTCCCTTCCCCCACCTTCACCCTCCACCCAGGAAGGGCGCAGGGAAGGAGGGGGCTGCCACACGTGCAGCGCGGGGAGAGAGTCCTCCCAATCTGGATAAGGAATGAAGTGGTGAGACTGATACTTTACCAACCAGAACAGAGCTGTTGGCTCTAGGACAAAAACATTATTTTCTTCCCGGCTCTCAAATGGTCTGAAAATGGATCCTTTACTGATTTTTTGGAGTTCATATTATGCTATCCTAAACTTATCCTGGCAACCGGAGCAAAGATGTTCTCATTGCTCCAAGTATTTTTAGACCTCTGCCTTAGGAACATCTTGAGGCCCCATCTTCTGCCATGTGGCGGGGCCATGAATGGTGGGAGCCTGGCACCCTGGTAAATAATGATGATGGTGGTGGTGGTGGTGATGGTTATGGTGATGGTGGTGGTGGTGGCAGTGGTGGTGGCAATGATGGTGGTGATGGTGGTAGTGATGGTTATGGTGGTGATGATGGTGGTGATGGTGATGATGTGATGATGGTGGTGGTGATGGTCATGGTGATGGTGGTGGTGATGATGGTGGTGATGATAGTAGTGGTGATGGTCCTGATGATCGGGGTGGTGGTGATGGTGATGATGGCGGTGGTGATGATGATGGTGGTGGTGGCAGTGGTGGTGGTCCACTACACGTTTACTAAGCTAGTGCTCTGTGTCTTTGCAGGTGGAATGCATCGATGAGCATCATGCCAATGATGCCCTGGAGGAGGTAACTGGTGGTTTGCTCTCTAGAGCAGCATGGTGCCGCACGCACAGCCTATGTTCTGTACTCTCTTGTTGCGTGACTGTGCGAAGGGAATTTTGGATGGAGGAATGGAGGGTCACAACTTGTTTTGTCCCACCTGTGAAGCCAGCAGCCCTAGGTCAGTAAGGGAGTCCATGCCCCAAACACTCACTTCTAAATACCGCTGCTGACAGTTTAGGACACACGTTCCCAGAGAGGATGAAGTTTACATGTTAGCCAGGGCTTAGGCTAATCTACCAATAACCACCTTCTAGAAGATTATTTTTTCCCCCAATTATAAAAGTATTAATTATAGTAGAAAATTTGGAAAATAGAGAATTGTTTAACAAAGAAAATGTAAATTACCCTTAATGCGACCATTTGGAACTGACCAGTGGTAACACGCAGTTCATGGCGGCAGCAGTCACAGCTGCGTGAGCTCGATTTGCTGGACAAAGGCTCTTGAGTGCTGCTTCTTTGCCTCTCAATTTCGTGAGGTCAGTGTCCCTCCTGTCTAGTGGTTAGCTGCTTGTCTTTCTGGGACAGCCAGCTCCTGAGCTTAGCGAGCAGACATTCTTCGGTCCGCGCCGTGGCTGGCACAGTGCCGGGCCCAGGCTACTTTCCGACAAATGGAAAGAACGAGCGTGGGAGGCCCACCGAGTCCGCGCCACCGTGGCTTTCCACGTCGCTGTGGCTTTCCACGCCGCCAATTCCCTTCCAGGTCCTGCTCGGCAGCCCACCCTGACGCCCACCCGTCACATGGAGCTGGCCATCTGGCTCAGGAGCTCTTGGAGCTGTTCCTGCTGCCTGCTCGGGTTTATTTTCAGCGCACTTTGAGCTGTGGGCAGGAGCGCGGCCCTCTCGGTGGCCTCCTGTCCCTTCAGCAGCACGTCGAGCCAAGCCTGGCTTTGCTCTCTCTCCCGCGTGCCTGGCACCTTACCTGCGTCAGCCCGCTGTGTCCTCGGGACATCCCTGTGAGGCAGACGCCACCGTTACCCCCATTTTCACATGAGAACACAAGGCTCGGAGAGGTTGCAGAGCCTGTCGCAGTCCCACACCCACAGCCAGCTCCCCGCACGTCTGGCTCCTAGTCACCAGGCGGCATGGCCGCCCTGTGCGGGCTCCCTGCCCTGCTGGGGGCTTTGCTGGGATGTGTGGCCGGGCAGCACCAGCTGAGAAATGGTGCTTCCCTGACCTCCGTGTCCCCTGCTCTCATCCCGCAGCTGATGCCACTGCTGAAGCTCCAGCACGCCCACATCTCTATGTATGAAGAGATGTTCATCACGTGGAACGCGGAGGTGGGTCGGGACTGCAGGCACGCGCACCGCGCACGCCCTCATGGGGCAGGGCAGCGGCTCTAAGCATGGCCAGGCCTGACCCAACACCGACTGGGGCTGGGCACCACACTGGGGGCTTTCTGTGCATCTCACGTCAGCCCCAGTGACCTCATTATAGGAGAGGTTGCTATCCCATTTTATAAAGAAGCAGCAGAGGCTAAGAGAAACAGGCTACCCGGCTAGCACGTGGCCACGCCCGAAGGCCAGGCCCCGGCCTGAGTCCAGTGCTCTGTGCATCAGCTGCCACGTCCTGCAGCCACAGGCTTCGTGAGTCTGTGCCTCTCATGGTTGAGGTTCGACTTTCATGGAAGCAGCTGGCCGTGGGCAGCGGGTCCCCACTTTCCACAGCCACCTGATACCCCTTCCTCTTACAGCCCTGCACGGTCTGTGGCCAGCCCACGGCCATCACCATGTTTGGGGGGCTGCAGGGCAGGAAGTGCTGTCCTCGTCTTCCTGATGGGGTCTGAGGCTCGGAGAGGTTAAGGAGCTCCCCAGGGCCACACAGCTAGTAGGTGGCGGAGTGGGGATTCAAACCCAGGTCTTGCAGCCCCCAAGCCCTGTGCTGCGTCCCGTAGGCTGTGTGAGTTCTCGTGTTTACAAGGAGCCACTCTAGGCAGGCCTGAGGTGGAGGGAGGGAGGTTGAGCCTGACAGGTGCGGAGGCAACGGCCGGCAGGCCTCGGGCTGCGTCAGCTTGCGTGAGTCCACGCTGCTGTGCCCGCCGGGCCGACGGCCCAGGGTCTGGGCGGGAGTGAAGGGCCCCCCCACCACGTACCTTCCTTCCCCTCAGCTGGGCCCTGTGGAAAGCCTTGGGGGGGCCCTCACTTCACCCACCCCAGATATTTTCTGAGCACGTCCAGTGTTCTCAAGAAGGGTGCAGAAAGGCCTAGAGGACATCTCGCCAGGGGAGGGAGCACGGAGCTGGGGCCCCTGACGTGCCGTACTGGGATCCCAGTCAGGCAGGCTCCTGGAGCACGAGCCGTCACCCCAGGGAAGGGGCGGGTGGTGGTTCCAGGCAGAGGGGTCCACTTGTGCAGGCTCCAGGGGCACGTGCAGCTTTGGGCAAAGTCCAAGCAGCTCGGTGTGGGCAGAGCTTGGCGGGGCTGGGAATGGGCGAGGAGGGGCGCGTAAGCCCACTGTGGGTGCTGGCCTGGTGCGGGGAGGCCCTAGAGTGGCGACCCCACAGAAGCCCTGGGGCTGGGCCTGCGTCTGGCAGCTGGCTCAGGAGCTCCGTCCCGGCAGACCTCCTCTCTGTTCCTCTGCCTGGTGATGGAGTTCCACCGAGTCAGCTTCCAGGACGTCATTGAGAGTAAGAGGAAGGCGAAGGAAGTCATTGAGCCTGAGGTAAGGCACCCCTCGGGACGCCAGGCCTTGGGACTACAGGGCCCCGTGGCCCGCAGCTCCTGCAGCAGGGCGAGGGCAGGATGGGTAGGTGCCGCTGGGGTCTGGGGTCTTGTTCTTTTCTCACGCGCACGTCTACAGGTGTCGCGTACTGTGACGTGCGCAAAACCTAAGTGCGCAGCGGGATGAGCTTAGCGCACACAGCCCCGCAGGTCAAAGGAGAAGGCGCTCCCAAAGCCCGGGAGGCTCCCAGTTGGAAACCACGATCCAACCGGCTTCTGCCTGCAGAGCGGCGCACGTGGCTGGACTCACACGGTCCCGTCACTCACGTCTGCTTTCCTTGGTTCGGCCTGGCGCTTCGCGCTCATTGAATCGCTGTTTTCACAGCAGGCTGCTCATCTGCTCGCGCTGCGGAGCACGTGGGTGGTTCCCAGTGTGGGGCTGTTGCGAACGAGGCCTGTGAAGGTTGTTGGGTAAATACCTGGGAGTGCGGCGTGGGGTTGCAGAGTGGCATACGCGAAGCGTCGGTAGCTGCTCCATACAGATCTCCAGCGTGGCTGGGTCGAGCCAGCGTTTGCTCTCCCCACAAGCTGTGCGGGCTCCGTATCCTGACACAGCGTCATGGCGTCAGTCTTTTTTGTTTTAGAGGCAGGGTCTCGCTCTGTCACCTGGGCTGGAGTGCACTGGCACCGTCACAGCTCACTGCAGCCTCGAACTCCTCGGCTCCCACGACCCCCCCCCCCCCCCCCCCTCAGCCTCCCAGAGTGCCAGGGCCACCGCGCCCATCTACGTCGGTCTTGCTAACGTCAGCCGGCAGCGATCGTTTGTTACAGTTTTCATTTACATTCCTGGCGAGCAGTCGCGTGAGCACATCCTGGCCCTTGGATGTCTTCCGTGGCGCCTGTTCAAGTGCTCTGCCCGTGCTGACGGCGGGCTGCCCGGAGAAGCTGCTGCAGTGCGGACTCGGGCCCAGGCGCCTCCTCCCAGGCTGCGCTTCGCCAGGTCACTTGCGCAGTGATGCCTTTTGGCGGACGGAAAGCGTCATGGTCACAAAGCCGTTCACGATGCTGCTGTGTTGCTGCCTTCAGAGTCCTGCTCTGAGAAGCCTTTCCTGCCCTGCGGTCATCAAGACGCCCTCCTCCGTGTTCTTCTGGAAGCCTGATGGTTTTTGCTTCACGTTTATGGCTGTGATCCGCCCCACACGGGCTCTGCCTGCCTTTGCTTGGGGAAGGCTGTTGGGTGGGCCTTGGGCACCACCACCCCCGAGGCACGCAGCTCCTCTCTCCACCCGGGCCTCAGAGGCAGGCCTGGAGCGGGCGCCACGCTCTGCTGGTGGTGAAACCCCCGGGACCCGTGAGCGGAGCAGAGCCGTAGCCACTGGCGGGAGGGGCAAGCCCAGCGTCCTGCCCGTTGGCCCCTCTCCGACACCTAGGGTGGCTCTGAATCCAGGGGTGCTGGGAACGCAGTTTGAAAATCACTGCCCTGGACATGAGATGGATCTGGTGTCTGACACAGAATGCTTCCAGAATGTTCTCTCTGAGGGCTCTTTTCATTTTCTTGACATAAAGGAGCAGGCCCCAAGCAAGCACTGAAGGCTTCAACATCCGTTACCTGCAGGCACGGCTGCCAGCAGGTGCTGGGCAGCATGGGCCACAACCCACGAGCCTGGCCACTGCGGGGGTGGCCCAGGGCTGGAGCCCCTCCAGCAGGGAGACGGGAGTGCGGGGTCCGGAAGCGCGGCCTCCAGCGGATGTGGTCCTACTGTCTTGAGAGCCGCATGTACTCTGGCCTGCCCGCCAGCCCCAAGCCCTTCGCCAGCATCAGGCCTGGCTCAGGACACAGGGACAGAACATGCCATTGTCCTGCTGCCACTTTGAGTGGTCTTTTGCCAAAAGCGGCCGCAGGCAGCCCCGCCCATCCTGGCATCTCCTGCTTCTTCCCCAGTGGCTGCAGGACGTGCTGGGCCAGGTGCTGGACGCGCTAGAATACCTGCACCAGCTGGACATCGTCCACAGGTGACCGGGCCCCCGTCTCCAGGGACTGGTCTGCTGCCTCAGGAGAAAGGCACTGCATCCTCGTGGGGCTGGCGCCCCTGTGCGGGATCTGGGGAGAGGTGTGCCGGCCAGCCAAGCCTGGATGGGACGGCACCCTTCCCGAACCCCTCCCGGGCTTAGAGAGAAGGACACCTCCTTGCAGTAGCCTCTGGTGACTCGTGCATGCACGGCCGCATGACGTGTGCGCTAGCTGGCGTGGCCACTCCAAAGTGCGAGGGGAGGAATGAGGCGACACCCCTGCAAGGCAGAGAGATGGGGCCGCCTGCCCTGGGGCCGTGTGGGCTGCAGCGTGCCCTGTCCCCGCCTTTGGCACCAGCAGTACAGCTCGGGCTCTGGAATCCATGGTCTGAAGGGGTGGGAGCTGGCTCCAATCACGAACACCAGTATCTTGTTTCTTTTTTCTTTTATTTTTTTTTGGAGACAGAATCTTACTCTGTCGCCGTGGCTAGAGTGTAGTGGCACCATCATAGCTCACTGCACCTCAACTCCTGGGCACAAGTTATCCTCCTGCCTCAGCCTCCCAAGTAGCTGGGACTACAGGGATGTGCCACCATGCCTAGCTTATTTTTCTATTTTTTTTGTAGAGATGGGGTTTCGCTCTTGCTGAGGCTGCTCTTGAACTCCTGGCCTCAAGTGATCCTCCTGCCTTAGCCTCCCAGAGTGCTAGGATTACAGGCTTGAGCCACGGCACTCAGCCACCAATATCTTATTTGAGGAAGAGAAAAACCAGGCAGACTACATGTAACCAAGGGAATGCTCACAATTCAGCGTTAATGTCACACAACGGCTGAAAAGCAACCCTTAGACAAACGGGTAGCTCAGATCTGTAAGGAGACGAACACGGTGTTAACAGAGGGACCACGGAGTGTCGTGTGTGTTCCTACATATTGTTGGGTTTTCCCCCCGTGTAATAACTAAGTATATTTTCTGATTATAGGAAACAATTATTGGAAGAGCAGGCAGAGCAGGGGCATTTTCTCGAGGAGGGAGGAGGGTGTGGGCTGCCGCTGCAGAAGTGGTCGGGGCGGGGGGCAGGAAGTCGGGCTCCCAGGCGCATGCCCGCCCGGTCCACCCAGGCAGCCCTGTGGCACCCAGAGCAGAGCCCCCTTCTTGGTTTCAGGAACCTCAAACCCTCCAACATTGTCCTCATCAGCAGCAACCACTGCAGACTGCAGGACCTGAGCCCCAGCAAGCTGATGACCCACGAGGCCAAGTGGAACATACGTGCGGAGGAAGGTGGCCGGGGCCCACCAGGGTTCGGGTTTGGAAACCAGGGCAGGGCAACTGGAACTTTGCCTCACAGTCCTGACCTTTAAAGGGGTCAAGGTGTTTAGAGAGAGTGAATTTTAACCTTGGCACACGCCCTTTCGAACTCCTTCTGCACCCAGCAGGGGCACACAGACACTCGGGCACACACAGGGCCAGCTCGGTGGGCCCCGCCGAGACGGACAGCCTCGCTGGCTCAAGATCGAGGCAGAGGTCTAGCGGGCCGGGGTCCTCTTCCTCCCCTGCGGTTACTGTGTCTCCACCTCTCCCAGGAAGGGGGACTGAAGGGCACGTGTTTCAAGCTGCTTGCAAGGGGGCACCTGAGGGGGCACAGTGCTGGGGCCAGTGGCTCGGTCAAGCCCCTGCCCGCAGGGTGCTCAGGACTCAGTGGGCCCCCACCTTGCTCCTGCCAACAGATCCCCTCCATAAATCCTGGATGGCCCCCGAAGCCCTCCACTTCTGCTTCAGCCAGAAATCCGACATCTGGTCGCTGGGCTGCATCCTGCTGGACATGACCACCTGCTCCTTCCTGGACGTGAGGGCCCCCGCCCCCTGCTCTCTGCCTCCAGCCAGGCTGCCCCAGCCCTGGCGCTCGGACCACTAGCGGCAGCCGCAGCCGTGGGAACGCTCAGACTGTCGTGTGCCGGCCTCGCAGTAGCCTCCAGGCAGGAGGGGAAGGGAAGGCCCCCGCGGCCACCCTGGCTTCAGGGAGGCTGGGATCCTCCCTTCTGCACACACAAGAGAAAGTGGGGAGAAGTCAGGGAGCCAGGCCCCGTGCCTGCCATGCCCAAGAGCAAGGAAGCTCCCCTGCCCCCCAGCTCCACGTCCAGGCACCAAGGTCCCTGGAGGGTACAGGTGTCCGGCTGGGCCCCACCATCCCCACCCTCCACTGCTGAGCCCTTTGCCACACTCCCTTCCCCTGGGAGCCTCCCGGGGAAGGAGGGCCTCCCTGCTGCAGGGCTGTGTGATGCCCCGGGAGTGCCTGGCTGCAGCCCCTGCCCGGCAGCACGCGACCTTGGGCACCCTTACCTTCCGTTAGGTGGGCATGCTGACCCTCCCACAGCTGGGTCCACGGCAGGGACCTTCTTGGCAGGATTGCGTAGGAGAGTTGTGAGACAGCCCACGCCGGCTTCTCTGAAACTCCGTTTCTTGTTTCTTGTAAGAGACAGGAGTCTTGCTCTGTCACCCAGGCTGGAGTGCAGTGGCAGGATCGTAGCTCACTGCAGCCTCCTACTCCCGGGCTCAAGTGATCCCCTGCCTCAGCCTCCCAGAGTGCTGGGACGGCAGGCGCGCGCCACGGTGCCCAGCCCTGTTTCTTCTTTGTGGAGGAGCTGTGGGCTCAGGGAGTCTCAGCGTTCCTGAAGGTGGCGGCTGGCGGCTGGCGTCTGGTCCCCTCCCCACTCTGCCTCGTTCCCAGCACGCCCTCTGCTCCTGGCCACGGCCCAGTTCCCCTGTAGTTGAGGAAATGCGCAAAGCGGTGTCCTCTCTCCTCGCAGGACACAGAAGCCATGCACCTGCGCAGGTCCCTCCGCCAGAGCCCAGGCGGCCTGAAGGGCGTCCTGCAGACAATGGAGGAGAAGCAGATTCCAGACGCCAAAACCTTCGTGTTTCTTTTGCCCCTGATGCTCCAGATCAGCCCCTCGGATCGAGTCACCATCCGGTGAGCTCAGAGCCGGGGCTTTGTGTCACCCGCCAACTTACCTTTCACCATTTTCCACCTCAATGCAAACACGGCTCTGTGGCTTGGTGACACCGCCGAGAACTCCATCACAGACACCCTGATTGTCCCGTGCAACGGGGCTTCTCCTCGTGCGGGCCACCCCAGACCCCGTGCAGTGAGTCACCACGAGCGAGCATACCTCTCCCAACGCTGGAGCCGCGCTGACCCCCATCAGGCGCGGGAGGCACAGCCCTGAGGGTCCACCACACTTTTAGGGGTCCAGGAAAAAGTTTTAATTCTAACTTAATTTTAAACTCAGAAGAAAAAATGAATATGTAACAACGAATCCAGCCTGGGTTATATATATACATTTTTTCGAGACAGTCTCGCTCTGTCACCCTGGCTAGAGTGCCGTGGCGTCAGCCTAGCTCACAGCAACCTCAAACTCCTGGGCTCAAGCGATCCTTCTGCCTCAGCCTCCCAAGTAGCTGGGGCTACAGGCACCACCACGGCTGGCTCATTTTTTCTATTTTTAGTATAAATGGGGTCTCACTCTTGCTCAGGCTGGTCTCAGACTCCTGAGCTCAAGCGATCCTCCTGCCTCGGCCTCCTCAAGTGCTGGGATCACAGGCGGGAGCCACTGCACCCAGCCTGGGTTATATTTACCTTTATACCGACAGTCGTAAAGTCTGAATTTTCATGTTTTCATGGAGGAAGGGGCCACAAAGGCGAGTGCCAGGGCTCAGGATCATCCCCCCTGGGCTCCAGGAGAGAGCCCTGTGTCTCTGTGGAGTAAGTCCCCAGAGTGGAACTGCTGGGCGCTTGCCGGACACACCTGGGACACTGTGGGAGATCCCGCCAAGTGTATTTCAGAACAGGAGGGTCGGTGCCTGGCGCCTGCACCAACTGGCAGCCCTGGGCCTGAGGCAGAGGGAGAGCCACAGGGGACGTGGCGGGAAGGGCTGCCCGGTTCACCCGGCCCCCTCTGCTCCTCTGCCAGGGACGCGATACACGTCACCTTCGTGAGCAACGCATTCAAGTCCTCGTGCGCCGCTCTGAGCCTGCACCAGCAGATACTGCCTGAATGCATCACGGACATGCTGTTAGGAGGCAATATCGCCAGCATCTTAGGTGACGCTAGGGACACAAATGGAGAGGGGCCATGGAGCTGCCGTGGCCTTGGCAGCCTGTTGTTTAGTTCTGGGGAGTTAGTGCCTCCCCTACAACCCACTCACACTGGACTTGCTTCTCACGCGTGGCCGGTGGGTGGGAAGCCTCCAGGCTCTCCCCTCCGTCTGTCCCCAAGCACTGCTTTGCTTGAGGAACTTCCCTACTCAAGAACTCTCCATAGCTCCCAGTTACCTATAACACAAAGCTCATCTCCATAGCCCAGCCCCCACCTATTTCCCCTCTGTTCCTGCTACACGAATCCTCTGTAGCTACGACGGCCTACTCAGCACCCACCCCCAGAACCCCCTCCCCTTTTGCTTCCACCCTCTGGCACGCAGTGGTCTTGGGCACGCTTCCAGTGTGTGTCTGTGCCCAGAATGAGCGGCAGTTTGCACCAAGTTTCAAGGGTTCCCGGACAGAGACCCAGGTTTGATTATGGACAAGTCCTGGGGCCCTAGTGGCCTCATCTGTAAAGTGGGGATGATAATAGCGCCCGCCCCGTGGCATGATCACGTGGGTCCAGGGAGGTGACACATGTCCAGCAGCTAGGCCCGGTGGTGCCCAGGGCCCCGGCCCTCAGAAGGACCCTCCTCTCACTTTGCTGCCCCCACAGAGGTCATGCAGAACTTCTCCAGCCAACCCGAGGTGCAGCTCCGGGCCATGAAGAGGCTCCTGACGATGCGCGAGGACGAGCTAGGTAGAAGCCGCCACCCCCAGCCTCCAGGCCCGCCCCACTCCAGCCGCCCTGGCTGGTGGTGTCACACACCTTGGAGGCGTGTTTCCATTCCCAGAAGGGCCCCATGTCTTTGCCGTGTGCTCGGGTAGTGGCAGCCTGGAGTTGCACCTGCGTCACCGCTCTCCCCGAGCAGAGAAGGGTGAGGCCACAGGGTGGCTTCCCTCACGTGATCTTATGGACCCACAGGAAGCCGTCCCCTCTACGCCACATCCTGCCGATGGGATTTGAGTTCTGACTTTCCACTATTATTGATGAAACTATGTGTACACATTTGTGCACTTGTTTCTGTAGGACAAATTCCTGCACACGAATACTTTGTTTTCAGAGACCGCAGACTGCTCTCCATTGCACCCCACCTATCAAGAATGCACGAGAACACCTTTCCCCAGCACTGTCCACTGAGTAGTAGTAATCTTTTTAATGATTTTTAAAATGTTTTTTCCCAAAACATGCTTTATAAGATCTCTCCACTCAACCTGTCTCACTGCCTGCGTATTACATTCCCACGCTCACCCATCCCGCCGCCTGCCTGGCCCCTGAACACGCACTGAAACCCGTGGGGCCTGTCCCAGTGGCAGGGGCATCTAGGGAGGAGACAAGAGCCTCACACAGGCCTCCTGCCTTTCCTCCACCCCCGACCCCTGTAGCTAAGCTGTGGCCAGGACCGAGTCCACGGCAAGGGAGATCCTGCCTTCCTGGGGACACTAAAGGAGGCTGTTGGGCCGGCCCTTTGTCACTCTCACTGAGCCCCGTGAAGGGGTTGCCGTCTGCACTGCTCCAACGACGAAACACTGGTGGGGGTGATGAGGCAGTGAGCACTGCCTCGCACCGTCCCCTGCACACGGCACGGTCCCTGACACAGAGCTGGATGGAGCCCAGCCATGCCTGTTGCTGGGCAGCAGAGCCGAGGGCTCTGGAGTGGACAGGCTGGTCCCTGTCGCTGCTCCAAAGCAGGTGCTAGCACCTCGCCGTCCTGTTCTGTCCAGTGAGGCAGTAACAGGAAGGCCACCTCCAGATGCCTGCAGTAGACCCCACGAGCGCCTCTCTGCCCTTCCATTCACCCACGAGGGGCTGTGACGCCCCGTCCATGCCGCCCTGCCCTGCCAGGTCTGCCGTGGCCCGTGGAGCTGCTGGAGATGGTGACCGCCGCCATGCGGCAGCACGAGAGGATCGCCGACGTGCAGCTGTGCGCCTGCTCCCTGCTGCTGCGCCTCCTGGGCCAAGGTGGGCGCTGGGCCGGGCGGGGAGCCCTCCTGGTGCCCCCGCATTCCTCCACTGGCGTCTGGCCCTCTGACAGCCCATGCCCTGCTGTGCCTACCCGGCCCCCTCCCAGGAGCCTGGAGACTCGGGCACACTCAGGGCCTGCCTATGGCCTGCCCAAGCGCCCCTCATTCCCACATTTCCCAGCCACGAAACGAGGAGATGGACACAATGGGGTCCTCTGGTGTGACCCTCAAGGAGGGTGGGTTGTGTCCCCAGGAGAGGGCTTGTGGCCCAGGTGGGAGCAGAGTCTTTGGGTTGTTAAAAAAAAAAAGGGCTGAGCTACCTTTAAGCCAAAAGTATTGTTACCTTCCTAGTTTCACGGTGACGTCTTGATTTCACGCCCCCAGACCCGGCAGCCCCGCCCCTTCACTCCCTCAGACCTGCTCTGGGCCAGGAGAGGCAGACCTCGGTTTCCTAAGTGCTGTCCCCAGCAGGGGGGAGGGGACCTGTGTGCCTTGCCTGCCCACCCCAGCGCCCCAGTGGCGCAGGTTAAGGGCCAACTTCTCCTCTGGCCCAAGCAGCGCTAACGCGCGACCCAAAAGCTGAGGCTCCATGCGACAGCTCAGTCTTCTCCACCCTGCTGAGCACCCTGCGGAGCCACCCCGAGGTGAAGCAGCTCACTGTCCTGGTCTACAGCCTGCTGTCCATCATCGTGAGCCAGGGTACGTCTGCTGGCCACCCCCCAGCCTCCCGGAACTCAGGATGGGGTGGGGGAAGGGCTGGTGTGGGTACACGTTGGTTGGACAGGGTGGTGTCGGGCCTACTCCTGAGCCACCTCCAGTCTGTCTGCTCCAAAGGCAGCTGGCTTCCTTTTCCATCTTGGTGACAAGCTTTGCTTCTAGTCACTGTTCCCCTCTACAGATGTGCACAGGCACCAGCTACGCACGGCACGGCCCCGGCCTCACACTGGCGTCTACCGCACACACGCTTTCTGCCCCTTCTGGGAGGCTGGGCGCCGGTGCCCTGCGTGTCTCCGTTCCCTAGAACATGCTGGGCTTTTGCCGCCACACCACAGGAGGCCTGAGGACTGTGGGGACAAGGGTCATTCTGAGGGCTCAGGGGACCAGGCCATGGGCTCTATGCACCTTGACCGCTAGGCGGGTGGGCACTGTTCTCCCCACAGGAAGACGGGTCCCGTGGTGGGCAGGGCCCCCATCCTCTCTCCACCACACGGACTGGATAACTGATCATACATCACTGGTCTCACTTTTGGGAGTGAAGGGAGGTGCCAGGAATAGGCACAAGGTAGAATCATTGGGCAAATGGGATATCAGGTCATTCTACAGGGACAGGACCCAACCATGGCCCCGTCCTGGAAGGCACAGGCCTGCTCCTTGTGGCCTGGGGGGTACGGCCAGGCCCCCTGGAGGGGCGCCACAGAGGCCGGACCCAGCCTAGTAATGGCGGCCCAGGAGATGGACAGACTCCTCCAGGCCCATGTCTTTCTTGTTCCTGGGTCCCATGAGTACACGAGACCTAGCCCAGAGCAGGTGCCCAGGAATGCAGGTCAAACGGGACTGCAGTGCCCAAGGACAACAAAGGGAGGAGGAACTCTGGGAAGGCTTCCTGGAGGAAGGGGACCCTCTGTCTGTGGTCCTCATTCCCAGGCCCACTGACAGCATCGGTCTCGGAGGAGCTGCAGAAGGCCGGGCTGTTCGAGCACATCCTGGAGCACCTGGACAGGTCTCCTGAGAACAGGGACATCTGCGTCAGTGGCCTGAGCCTGCTCTGGTGCCTCCTGGTGGATGGTGAGGGGCCCTCGGCCCACTGTCCCACTGGGGGCTGGCACGGCTCCCTCAGCTGCTCCCTAACTGCCTCTGACAGCCTTCAAGGGCCTCCACACCCTGTCCCGTGAACACAGGACAGCCACGGCCCACAGAGGCTCTTCTGAGAACTGAAGGAGAGGAAAGCAAAGTGGGGAGGGAAGGACGGGGGGCGGGGTGGGGGGAAGGCCATGGCTGACGGACGCAGGACTTCAGGACTTCTTATCCAGCGGGCAGCCCCTTCACAGATCTGGCACCTCCTGCCCAGGGAAACGTCCTGGATTTCCTGGGCAGTCCTGGCTCCAGAGGTCAGACTTAGTGTGGGATGCCCTGTTCTGATTTTTGATTCACAATCGGGCCCCCTGGCCTGTGGGTCCTCTCCCCTCTAGACCCCGTTGTGGCATTCCAGTGCCCAAGGAAGAGTGGGCTCCCAGCCACGGAGAGCCTGCCCAGGAAACCCAAGACAGCCCTGCCAACACCCAGAGCACAGGTCCCCCAAGGCTCTCCTTGGGGGTGATCCCTTCCTTCCAGACTTGGTGGCCTCAAGCCTCCTGACCTTCCTTCTCTGAGGACATCTGACATGTCACATGTCTGCTGTTGCCCTTGGCCAGAAGGAGGCAGCAGGTGGGGGGCACGTATATAGCAGTCTCTCCTGGTATCCACTCAAGCCTAGGTATCCACTCAACACCCTTGTCCTGGTTCCAGCTGTCATTGTGGACAAGGCCCCCTTGGAGAAGGCCCCGGCCCTCCTCATCCAGGTGCTGGACGCCTACCCCGCGGACGCAGAGATGGCCGAGGCCGGCTGTGCAGTGCTCTGGCTGCTGTCCTTGCTGGGTGCGCACCCTGGGCCGCAGGAGCTGGGAGGGGTGGGTCTCGGACTCACAGGCAACGAGGCCCGCCTGGCCCCTCTGCAGGCTGCGTAAAGGAGAGCCAGTTTGAACAGGCGGCAGCAGTGTTCCTGCAAAGCATCCAACTGTGCCAGGACAGAGTCCTGCTGGTGAACAACGCCTACCGGGGACTGGCCAGCCTTGCGAAGGTGTCAGGTGAGCCTGGGGTGGGATGGGGCTGCCACCTGGACGTGGGGGCAAAAATCAGCCCCCGTCAGTAGTGTCTGTCAGCTGCCACAAACCGAAAAACAGAAGAAAAAACCAGAAAGGAAATTAAAAATGATCTAGTCCTATCATCCAGAAATAGCCATTGAGACTTCCACACGCACATTTGATAAACTTTTTGTTGTTGCTTCATGCTACCATGCGGCCATCTTTCTCTGCCTATAAACACACATTATGCCTGTACAGGTTTCCCAACATATACATACGTCCTAACTTAGTAAAGCAGCTCCAGAGACAGGTCTGTCTCCAAGGCCCCACAACACAAACCCTGCCCGTCACTAAGCCTGACATGCCGGGCCCCATGACAAGCACCAGCATGATCGATAATCCTTTACAGAGAACACTTGACTTAGGGACTGGCCAAGGTCCCCACCCCTGGGGACTGACTCCCACCCAGCAAAGGGCTTAACCTTTGCTCTACGCAGCCCTGCTCAGGTCCTGTCCCCTCCCATCCCACCCCCGGCACACCTGTGCTCAGCAGCCTATGGCGAGCCCTCTGAGGTCCCATCCCAACTCTGCTCCGGCTGGGCAGCCAGCCCAGAAGGGAGAGCAAAGCAGCCAGGCCTCTGCCGCTCCGTGTGGGATGGGCCTGGCAAGCGGAAGAGTCACCTTCCTTCCCAGGGAGGTGGCTCTCCCTTTCAGAGAACACCAGGGTAGGAACCCGCTCTCACCTGCCCCCCAGAGCTGGCGGCTTTCCAGGTGGTGGTGCAGGAGGGAGGCACCAGTGGCCTTTGCCTCATCAAGGAGACCTACCAGCTCTACAAGGACGACCCCGACGTGGTGGAGAACATTTGCATGCTGCTTGCCCACCTCGTTGCCTACAGTGAGACCCCCTTCCCGCGCCCCCGCCCCTGCAAGCCAGTGGTCAGAGGAGCCTTGCTCTCAGCTCTGACCAACAGGGAAAAGGGAAGGAGCTCCACGGCGCTCTGCAGCCCTCTGAACCTCCCATTCATTCAGCATCTTTTGGGCGCCCACTATGCACCAGGCGCCGTCCTGGCCAAGGGTGATGCACAGGGCCCAAGAACCTCAGGCCAAGCCTGGTCCTGCTGGCCGGCTGCTGGGGCTCCCAGCGGGCACAGGAGGGGCCCTGGCCTCAGGACCTCTCTCCACCACAGAGGAGATCCTGCCTGAGCTGGTGTCCCACGGCATCCACACCCTGGCCCGGGAGATCAAGGAGCGCTTCACCTCCAGCCTGGTGAGTGACGCTGGGCCTCCTGCCAACCATGCCCCCACCAGCTTCAAGCTCCCAACCTGGGGGCGCCGAGTCCAGGGCTTGGAATAAGAATTTATGCAGAGGCCGGGGCGCCGTGGCTCACGCCTGTGATCCTAGCACTCTGGGAGGCCGAGGCGGGTGGATCGTTTGAGCTCAGGAGTTCGAGACCAGCCTGAGCAACAGTGAGACCCCGTCTCTACTAAACAAAAATACAAAGAAATTAGCTAGACAACTAAAAATATATATATATATTAAAAAAAAAAAAAATTAGCCGGGTATGGTGGCGCATGCCCGTAGTCCCAGCTATTCGGGAGGCTGAGGCAGGAGGATGGCTTGAGCCCAGGAGTTTGAGGTTGCTGTGAGCTAGGCTGACGCCCCAGCACTCTAACCCAGGCAACAAAGCGAGACTCTGTCTCAGAAAAAAGAAAAAGAATTTATGCAGAACTGACCTCGATCTCCACGTGTAGTTTTAATGACCATTTTCCCACCTCTGCGACTAGGCCACAATCAATCCTAAAGAGGAGGGGTAGTCAGACCTTTCCAAAGAAAGTTCCCTGTCCATCATCAGTGGATTAAGTCACACTAATAAGGGCTCCGGACCCGAAACTGCGTGTGACAGCTGGCCTGCTCGCTTCCTCCTCCAGGAGCTGGTTTCTTACGTGGAGCAAGTGCTTCTGCGGCTGGAGGCGGCACCAGCCACACTTCCCTGTCCCCCGGAAGCGAAGTCGGGGGGCACTGGTGCCAGGGAGGAGGCGGGCACCCCGGAGGCCGCCCTCCCCGACGAGTGGCCTCTCTCCCTGCCCTGAAGTGCCCGCCCTTCCTTTCCCTGCACAGCCGGAGCCGCCCAGTGGTGGAGGCGACGTTTTCCTGGGGGTTGGTGGGGGGTGGGGGAGAGAAGAATGGCCACTGCGGCCAGCATGTGTGTCCCACACTCTGAAGTGACTAATAAAGAGGCCCACGGCCGTTCCTGGTGTGCCTCCACTGTTTCCGGAGACAGGCCGTGGCTGCAGCGGGGGCACTCAACGCTGCGTCTACACAAACCTCGCTGCTGGCCGGGCCGGGCAGCGGTCTGGACACGTGGTCCTTTCAGATGGTTCCAATGAGGGAAGACACCAAACCTCCACAGCACATTCAAAGCAAACACCTGCATCTATGTCAAATAACATCCGCAAGAGACTGGCACTGCTCCTGTGCCGCTGTTGGGCAACTCAAGAAAGCGCTAGGCTTTATTCACGTGTCAGTGCAACTGGCCCACGAGCGCTCAGGCGGCTTTTCGAGTGCAACAAGGCCAAGGTCAGCAGCTCCACCAACCTCCAGGGCACTGAGGCTCTGCGTGTTGTCACGCCGTGGGGAGGGGCTCCTGTGGGGCGCTCACCCACCAGCCAACCCTGGGCCAATGTAGATACACGGGAGTGAGAAAGGAACACCCACCCCCAGAAAGCCTCTCAAAGTCCAAACGGCCACAGGAAGCCCCCCAGTGACGCAACTGCTGTACCAGCTGGCCGCGTCTCAGTAGCTAACTGCAGACCTGGCCTGGGTCCCTCCAGTCCAGCAGAGCTCATCACATCTCCCAGGCAACAGAGGAAAAAGAGCCTCCTCAGAGGAAGCCGCTGAGCACCCAGGGTGCGTTCCGCCCTCGGACCCGGGGTGCATCCCACCGAAGCCCATTGGATGGGCAACAGCAGACGGGCAGGCCCACAACGAACGTCCCACTCTTGCTCTGGTGCTCAGCAGACGGTGGTGTCGCCAACCCGCCAACTTCCTCCCCTGCTACATCCCCGCCGTCCTGGCCCAGCACACACGCAGCGGTCAGGTCATGTCGGACCCAGGGGAGCAGGAGGAAGTGCGCAGTACCGTGTGTGCCGTGCTCCAGCAGGGCGGCTGATCTGGGGGGGCCCTGCTGTGTCCTCGCGCTTTGGTCACATTGCCTCGGGATCAGGAGCCACCACAGGACAGTGGGAGGGGTGGCGCTGGCAGTAGGGCAGGGTCTGTTAGGCGTCGTCGGTGTGGCTGTCTGGAGCAGCTGCTAGGGGGCGCCTGTCCCCGGCCATACTCTCCCACTCCTTCTTCACCATGACGTAGAGTCTCATGGCTGCCTGCGCGTCCTGAACCTAGGCGACACGGAACACCAACTGTCCCAGCAGGCCACCAGCATGACCACAGGCCCCCCAGAGCCAGCTCCACATCAGAGCCCTTCACGCCGGCCCCCGTGCCAGGGTGCACAGCCGAGTGCGCGTCTGGCGGCCGCAGGAGGGTGAGGGAGGAAACGTGGAGCAGCCGGTGCAATGACCTGGTTGTCACTGCACCCGTGACACAAACGCTCCCGCCTACAGAAGAAAGGGAAACCCAGAGAAGTGAAGTAACAAACATGTCACCTTGCTGAGTTCATCAGATGACATTTACGGATGCAGGGGATGGTGGGCTGGAGCGTGGACGGGCATGAGGGCCAAGCAGACGGGCAGAAAGGGCCCAAAGCGCTGAGACGGCACTGCCGGGGTCGACTCTGTCCTACAGAAGCAGAGCCGACCAGGGCTGGCTGGCCTGGGCCACCTGGTCCTAGAGGACCTTTGATTTAGACTGGTGACTTTTTCACCAAATACGTAAATATAATTTGTGTTAAGTGTTCCACGTAAATATCTATACTTGAAGCGACATTTTGTAAGCCTGCGCTGCCGTTTCATTTTTTTTGGACCAAGAGCCTCCTAAAAAAGGTGCCCAGGCCTCACCTGTGTCTGCTGTCAGCTGACACATACCTGGGTTTCCAGGTCAGGGACAGCCCCAAATCCTGAGGACTGTCACCCAAGGACATACTTACTGAACAATGCTCTGCCTGCTGGACCCTGATCCCCAGGATTTTCTCTGAAAGCAGTTTCAGAGACGGCCTTCCGCTCTGCAAAGGGGGAAGAGAGAGCACACAGCGTGGTGGGTCAGGAGCCTCTGCAGACCCTGCCCGGGTGGGCCGCTCCACCAGCAGTGAGCCCCAACCCGGGAACACACAGGCCAGCCACAGGGGGCTGGTGACACCCCCCACTCAGCCAACCGAGCAGGGGGGCCAGGGAAGGAGTCAGTAACTCCATCTCCCACCCTCAGGCCCCTCTTATTTCAAGAGGGGCAGCTCTGCCCTTGGCCCCCTCTGGAGCGGAAACCACAGGGGCCCACGCCCTACTCAGAGACCCATCAGAAGTCAGCGCGGAGAGAACATGTCCCCGTCACAGTCGCATGGCTGAATAAAGTTAAAGAAAAAAACAAAAACCCTTTAAGCAACAAGTCAGCTCCCAGGGACCGCGAGGTGAACTGCACAACAGAAGTGTGACCCCACTCATCTTAAGTACCTGCACTCGACTCTTAAAAGGTTTGTATTTCTGTGTGTCCCGAATCTTCTTTTTCGGATGATCAAGAAACAGCACCTAGAAGAAAATATAACAATCATTTTCATTTTTAGTTTGTAGCAAATAACATCTTAAGGGGAGCCCCAGTCTATGACACACATACATACACACACACACGGGAAAAAGGTATTGACACGAGCTTGCACTTCCGAGAGAAATTTCTCACGCTGATTTAAGGGAATGCCCAACAGTCAGAATCACATTAGTAAAATCTCGAAATCAAGGAAATAGGAGAAAGACAGCCACCAATTAACCAGCAACCGACTCAGTCCTGTATTTTGAGTTGGTTCTGCAAGTCAGGAAGTTAGAAACTGTAACAGATCTTAACAGCTGACCTTGCAACATGAGCATAATCTTCGCGAGAGACTGAAAACAAGTCTGCACAAGTTACCAGGGTGGGGCCGGAGTCAGGAGGGAAGGACAGGTTACTACTGTGGCAGTCTCTGGGGGCGATGACGTTTTGTTAGGACAACCTGCCGTTCTGCCTTCCCAGGCTGTTCTCATCGGCAGAGACCCTGAGGGAGCAGAGGCCAGAGGCCACACCCCGGGGGCGCTGGAAGTGGACCCTCCGAGCTTCCCCGCTGCCGCCTGCTAAGCTGGCCGAGGTGGGCTGGGCAGTGAGGCGCGAGGCGAATGGAGCCTAGGACGGCTGCTTGAGGAAACGCTGCCTAGCGGGTGGCAGCCACAGAGGCAGCGGCCTGGCTTTGCCCATGTGGAACGCACGAGGTCAGGGGAAGGAGACTTGGCGCTGGGTCTGGGTGCACACGGCTGTCACACTGATACTTGGGCTTGCTACGTAACCTCGCTGAGGCTGTTCTACCACCTAAAAAAGCTGCATGATCACTTTAGACGTTTTAAAGAATCAAACGAGACCTATTATACGATGAGATCCGTTGTACACGGCGCCGTAATGGGAACAGCACGGCAAAAGCTGCCACTAGGCATCAGAAGGGACCGAGAAGCATCTCCCCCACCCAGCAGGCGAGGCTCCCCACTTTTCCTGCTGTTTTTCTTCTTTTTAGAGGTGGAGGCTTCGTCCATGGCTGGCCTTGAACTCCCGCGCTCAAGTGATCCTGCTGCCTCAACCTCCTGAATGGCCAGGATTACAGGCTCACGCCACCAGGCCCGGCCCCGACTGCTTCCTTTAAACCAACCTGGCATTTCCCCTGAACTTAAAGTGACCCCCACCCTATTCCCGTATGTATACACACGCTACCAGCTGCCGCACGTGCTCCCTCGCACTGTCTCGCTGGCGGACGCGCTCTCTGCCTGACTCTACATTCTTGCCTCCCAGGACCCAGACGGGGACTGCCCTCTTGCCTGGTGGCGCCCTCCCTGCGCAGGGTCCTGGTGGTGTACGGAATCAGTGCCCGGGACGCCAGGAAGAACACAGGGCGGGCCCCTGCGCCTGAGCAAGGCTCAGCCGAGCCATGGAGCATCGCCAGTGTGAGCAGGTTTCCTGTGTGAGGGGCCCTGGTCACGGTGGGACTACCCATTAGGCTGTCCCCCAGGCAGGAGTCCGGGGAAAGGCACACTGCAGCACCACGTCCAGCCCACGTCACTGCCCGTTAGCAGGGCTGCCGGCCACTCTGGAACTGGAACCCCGGTCTAGCTGGGCTCTTAGAACAGGAGCCTAGCGTGGCTCCTGGAACACGCTAAGAACCAGTGAACAGCGTTTGATGTCATCATTAGAGTACTCCCAGCACAGGGCGCCACTCAAAGGAACTTAACTCCCACAATGGCGCTGCTGCAGACAGAGCGCACAAGGGTGTCATGTATTAACACCATGCGTGGAAGAGCCAGTGCGCCCTAAGTTCCCAGGAGGTCCCCAACACCCAGCACCTTTAGGTCATTATGCAGAGCATGTCCCACCAGAACTCTGCCCTTCAGCATTTCCGCCACTTCCTTCTGAACAACGCCAAATTCTTCTCCTGAAAAACCAGAGCAAAGAAGTGGTCTTTAGCAACACAGGAACCACCGTTGTGCTCTGAGAGGGGGGCCCCTCCCATCCCGGTCAGACTGAAGACCACCGGCCGGGCCTGAAAAGCCACACGGGGGGGTGACTTGAAGCCACCGGGGAGAAGTGCCTCACAGGCCTCGGCAGGCGCGGCCGCGAAGGCCACCTCTGGGGCGAGAAGGACGGCTGCTCACACGGCTGAGGACTGGCTCCCGTCTGCACACTCGCGCTGTGGCGGGGGCTTGCCTTGGTTGGGGTTAGGTTTTGGAACTTTTGGGGGCGTTTTGCCGGGGCGTTTTGCTTTTTTTTTCTTGTTAAAAAAACCAGGGCTCACACTTCATGGCTTCCAAATGGAAATAAAAGCAAGACTGGCCGTCCCCCCTAGACAGTGGGACACACGCGGCCCCAGACCCCGTGCTCCAGAGGCAGCTCTACCCACTTTCTGGGGACCTTTTGGGATACCCTTTGGGGACCACCCCACCTCCAATCCCACTTGTGGGAGCCCCTCCCAACCCCTACACCCACAGGGAGGGGCTCTGGCAACCACACTTGCACCATGTGACTCTCCCGGCCCGGCCAGAGCTGACCGATCGAGGGTGGTTTGACCCGAGCAGGACCAGCTCCCCGCCCCCAGGAAGGGACCCAAGAGGCGCTGGTCAGTCTCCTGTTCTGAGGAGTGGCCGTGCGCACCAGATGAGCAGGGAAGGGAGTATAAGGAGACAGAATGGAGGGGTGCAGAGGAGAGAGACTGCCTGGCCTCAGCCATCCTGGACTCCTTCACCTCTTTACCCACAAACAGACTCAGCCTTCAGCTGTATCCGGGTTGGGTCACTTCTAACACCCACCTCCCTGACCCAGGTCTCACCGCTAGTCCATGCCTCTTAACAAGCTGCCCTATTTCCACTCTCATAGCCCTATGGTCTGTTCTCAATGCTGTGGCCACAGGGAACCTGCTAGAACTTAAGCCAGACCAGGCTTCTCACTGCTCAGGACCTGCCTCCCCAGGGACGCCCAAAGTCGTCCTCACAGGGGTCCACCACAACCTCCCTCCTCGTGGCCCACTCCCCAGCCCAGCGGCCCCCTTCCTGGTTCCCGGACACTCCACCCTGGTCCCTACTGCTGCACAACGCACAGCAATTCAGGAACACGGTCCTGGTCCCAAAGGCGGTGGGTGACAGGCACAAGCACCAGACGCAGATGGCCTGAGAGCCTCTAAGGCTGCCTTTTGTATTTCAAAACCCATCATCCGGGGGGAGGAAAGATGTGTCAGGACTATTGCTATGGAGAATGTTCCCCAGCAGAACGGGGCGCAAAAGGGAGGCAGAGAATCCGGTCGTTATCTTCCCTGCGTTCGCCACGTACCCTGCGTGAGGTGCTCGGGCAGGATCCCGCTGACCGCGGTCCTATAGTCCGTCACGGGCTCGGTCGGCTTGACATACTTGTCGTAGACGCATCTGCCGTACTGGTTCACGAGGGACACGCGGGCGGCGACGCTCTCCTGTCCCTGGGGGCCCACGCCCACCATCTCACAGTCCATGGCTAAGGCCTTCGTCAGGCTGAAGGGAAAGAAAGGCTCCAGCTTAACAAACGCTGCAGGACCCGGGACTCCAGGTCACACCCAAAGGGACCACAGACTAAGCGTCACACTGAAAAGCTCAGTGCCCGTCACTACTTCACACCCACGTGACAAGCTCTGTGTGTCACGGTTCTTAGCGGCATCATGGGAGGCGCTCGCTCCACTCCACTGGAGGAGAGGCCCACGTCCTCTTCCCTGCAGAGCCCCCGCCGCCCTCGAGGCTGGCCGTGTCCCCGAGCCTGGCGTACCCGCCGAAGCCCTGCTCCTTCACGAGGGTGATGCCGCTGTCACTCTGACCCAGCTGCTTCCTTGCTAGCTTGGCTGCCTCTGGGCCTAGGGCAGCTTCGATATCCACCGGGTCCACATCGTCAAACCAGATGTCGTCCCTGAAAGGCAGAGACGAGAACAGGCTGACCAGCAGAGGGCGCTGGGCCCACCGCGGGGTGGCACCCTGTGCGCCGGCAGGCTGGCCGTGCGGGCCGGCGGAGGGATGCAGAGGCTGCTCCTGTTATTTTGATCATCTCAGCACTTTCGTCGTTTTTCTTTTTAATTAGAAAAGATGCTTATTATCTAAGACTTAAGAACTACAGATAAACGTAAAGAATATAAAACAGAAACACACAACCCACCACCCAGGTGTAATGACTCTCATGTTTCCTTTTTAGTTACAAAAGTAACAGGTTCATTATCAAACAATCAGCAAACACAAATACACACGATGACTATAAAATGGAAACACAGAACCCGGCCAAGGTGCGACTGCCGATGTCTTCGCGGCTGGCCCGCTTTACTTGGATGCCCGTGCGGGTGTATCGACACCTGCCTGCCGAAGTCCGTCTTTAGGCTCAGCTTAAATGTCATTTCCCTAGAAAAGCTCTTTCAGACCCCACCGAGTGGACATGCTCCTCTCGTGCTCCTGTGACTGTCTCCCTCACGCATTTGTCCCGACCGCACCTGCGGATTGAAGTACCGCGGTTTGCCGTCTCTCCTGCCTGACGGCCAGCCCCAGGGAGGAGCAGGACTGCCCTGCTGACGGCCCTTTTGGACGGCTGCCCGGCAGGGAGGTGCGCAGCCTGCTCCTTCCTTTGCTCTTGAGCAACTGTGTCTCGAACACCCAGGGGACATGAAGCCAGCCACTGACTTACAAGTATGTCACCTCCAGCTGAGCCGTTTGGCGACAGCCATTGACTCCTGGTCCGACTTGTGGGAGTGACCATCACAGTATTTGTTAAGTACCCACCAGGCACTGAGCCAAGCATGCCACATCTCACAAATCTCCTGGTGACACCACAGATGACAACACTGAGGTGCAGAGGGTATCAGGAACTTGCCCCAAACCCCCCAACTGGCAAGAAGCAGCGATGGGTCTTGCATTCCATTCGTTCTGAGTTTGGACTCATTCATTTCACAAATTGTTACTGGTGGCCCCTAAGTGCCAAGCTCTGTCCTAGGCTTGGAAGCTGCACCAGTGACTATGACGCCCCGCCCTCCGTATGCTACACTCAGGAGAAAGCAAACAGCAAGTAGACAAAGACACAGATGACAGCAGCGGAAGGTGATGGAAAGGCTGCGGTGGGGCCGTGCCGCCACCTGGCCTCTGCGGGGGGACGGGCCCTAGGTGGGGAAGTTGCTGCGCCTTTATCCTCAGTGGTGAGGAAGGCTGCGGCCGGGTGGCAGGCGCTGTGCCCGTCAGCACGGCTGAGACTCAGGCACAGGCGTCAATACTTACTCGGTGGGTGGGGCCGGGGCCGAGGCTGCCTTCTCCTCAGCTTTCCGCTTCTTATGCTTGATATCCCCTCGTTTTTGAGAAATGTCACCATTTGTCCTTTTCCTGGTTCCCTTCTCACTGTGCTCTGTTCCACTGGCCTTCATGGGAGGTACTGGCACCTTCCTGCCCACCTTGAATCCTGCAGGAATCGGGCCCCCGGTGGCCTCTTGGTCTTTTTCTGTCGACATCTCATCTCTCCTTGCTTTATCTGAGATCTCTTTTCTGTTTCGCTGGATAATCTCGGGCTGCTTTTTGGAACCCATCTGAGAGGTATCAAGAGGCTTTTCTGGGGCCTGTGATTTTTGTTTCAGCAGCTAATGGGACCCAAAATAAAATACATGCTCCATTTTAATTTGGAAATTATATAACAGATTGAAAAAATGTGTGTGCGTGTGTGTGTGTGTGTGTGTGTGTGTGTGGCATCACGTCAGTCACATCTATATACGCTTCCTACAGCATCGCTGAAATTTGTTTTTAAATGGTTTGGAAAAAGCCCCTGTTCATTGTCACCCATGAGTCACTTGTGTGGAAATGCTGTTCTTTGCTTATCTTAACATATAATTTTTACATGGGCTCCTTCGTTCCTACAAAATTTCAAACTTATACTCTATTCCTCACGTACCTGTTGAGTGACTAAACACCACAGTCCGCTTCACTGTGAGCAGGGATGATAAGCAGCCTTTTTCCACTTTTTTTTCTTTGAGACAGGGTCTCACTCTGTTGCCCAGGCCAGAGTATAGTGGCGTCACCACAGCTCACTGCAACCTCAAACTCCTGGGCTCAAGGGATTCTCCTGCCTCCCGAGTAGCTGAGACTACAGGCGTGTGCCACCACACCCAGCTAATTTTTCTATTTTTTGTAGAAATGGGGTCTCACTCTTGCCCAGGCTGGACTTGAACTCTTGAGCTCAAGCAATCCTCCCACCTCGGCCTCCCAGAGTGCTGTGATTACAGGTGTGAGCCACTGCACCCGGCTTTTCATTTTTTCAGTTAATTTAGAGTTAATTTTAGAGTTACATCTCTCACAGCTTAGGCCAACACTCTGGTGCATGGAAACTACCTCCTTTAGAAGATTTCTTGGTTTGTTACCGGGGTGTGTTCAATGAAAGAAAAGCTCTGTCAAACTGGAGGGGGCGGAAGAACAGGTGGGGGCCACAGCTCTGCTCTCATGCAGGCGGAGGCCCTCTGTGGCCTTGGAGCCAGCTTCCTCCTTGTGCCCAAACCCCTAGCTAGGCTGTTCTCGACCTCAGTTAAGACCCTGGTCCGCAGCAATCAGTTGAGAGATGATAAGGACAGTTTCTACTTACTTACCTGTTCCCGTAACAGTTAAAGAATGGAAAGATTGACTTTCCTGCATGAATTAGAAAAAACTCAGTTTTCCCTACGGTAAACATCCCTTCCATTCACTTAATTTTGCTTTTCGTTCTTGGGAGAAGGAGGAAGAGATGGTGCTCAAGAAATCATGGAGAACCCTGGGGCTGCCTGTGGGAACTACGGGTCCTGTGTGTCAAGACAGGAACGTTATTAGGAATGTCCACGTTCAGATAGTGGGCACAGTGACAGGAGGCTCAAGAAGTTCTCTGTTCTCTCTGTCGCTCGCTCTGGGGCTCCATAACCTACTCCAGAACACTGCAGACGACACGTGAAGGCCAACAGCAGGGAAGAGCACAAACTCAAGGCACAAGGTGTGAATCCGCAATCCCAGTCCCGACATTTCCTAGCAGTGTGATCTTAGGCCAAGTTTCTGAAGCTCTCTGTGCCTCAGTTTCTTCATCTAGAAAACAGGGCTAGTAACAGCAGCTGATTCCAAAGGACGTGGTAAAAAGGCGAGTGAAGCCCGTGGGAGAGGACGTGGCAGAGAGCCACCCGCACAGAAGCGCCGACCGCTACTGCCTAGGAAGGCACCGGGCACAGCCCCGCATCAACAGCAGGACGCCAGGGCCGGCCTGCCTGGCTTTGGGTGCCGGTCTGCAGCTCCAATCTCAGATGATGAATTTAACCTTGCTGGGCCTAGTCCCTCATCTGCACAACAGGGATGACCCAAGTATCTACTTCACGAGCAGGTACTTTGCGGCCTACGTAAGAGCACGAATACGGAGCAGAGTGCACATTCTAAGAGGTCAAAAACTGGGGCAGTTCTCATCAATGACCACCTACTTAGAAGACCCTCGGTGTCGCTAGAATCCTCTGCATCGCGCGTCTGCGGTCCCCTGCTCCCCCGCCGCAGGCCCCTTTCCAGTGACCGGCTCTGATTACAAAGTTCTGGCCTCCCGGGTCCCCTCTGGGGCCGCCAAGCCTTCCCTTCCCGGCGTTCTGCAGGAACCGCACAGAGAGGCCCGGGGAAATGGGCCGCGGGCCTCTCAGGTCTCACCTCTCGCAGCGCCTTCCAGTTTCGAGAAAACTCTTCCGGCGCCTGTGGAGGTCGCACCGCAACACCGGCGGCGCTTCCCGGATTCGCGCTTGCTCCTCGCGCGTTGCTTTTCCAGAACTTTTTTTTCTTATTTTTCCTCCGAGCGAGCTTCGTGACAAGCCCTGGCTTCGCCACGGGGTTGCTCGGGGCGCGCGTGGACGCGGAGACCTTCGCCATCGCGGCACCCGGCAAGGCCCCGGGCCGGACGCCTCCGGGCGGCGGCTGCCGAGAAGCCCGCCCGGCACCCCCGGCCCAGCCGCCGGGCCCTGCCGCGCAGCACAAGCTCCAGCCGGCCCCGAAGGCGACCCCGGAAGCGTGCGCTTCCAGTCGCCGGAAGTGCTCGTCTCGAAACCTCTCACGTGCGCTCTAGTCGCCGGAAGTGCTCGTCTCTCCGCGACTGGCTGGAAACCGGAACCGCGCGTGTAGTTCCGCGCGGCCTGCTGGCCCACACGGAAGTAGGACCACCACCCTGGCGATTGGTGTCCGCGGTCGGCGGTCGAGAGTGTGGTGGGGCCAACCCCGGGTTCTCACCGGGATCCGGGATGGGGATGAGAAAGCGAACTGGGGCCCCCTGTCGGTGTAGCCCCGCCGGCGGCCGGAGGGCTTACTCGGTTGCCCGCGCCCGCCCGCCTTGGGCTGTTCCGGGCTCGGTCTTACAGCGGCTCTGGGGGCCAGGATCTTCATCTTCCACATACAGTGGGGAAACTGAGGCCCAGGCATGGGAGGAGCTCCCCCTAGATCACGCCACCTGGTTAACCCCAAGCCGTAGGGCTGCAAAGGCATTGCAACAATATCCGATAATAGGGCACTACGTATTATAAGTGTGTATTATTTTTTGTAACATCAGTAAGAAGTCATTAGCGCATCGTGCTTGGTCCAGAGCAGGCCTTGACAAACACCACCTTAAGTTTGCGCTGGAGTCAGTGTGGGGGCTGAGAAAGAAAAGTGGTGCAGAGCATTCCAAGGAATACGGGTGAGAAATAAAAACCCCCTAACTGAGGGAACGGACCATCTTGGTCAAGGCGACCCCAGAAAAATATTAAATTTGAGTTCCAGGCCATGAGGGGTGGGAGGTCAGATACACCTCATTGTACCGGGTCCTTGCTAACCCGAAACCAAGGGCCACACAGAAAGCAGCCCTTTGGAAAGACTTGCTTCACCCTGATTTCAACCAACCTGACTGCACCTCCCTTTTTGTATTTTCGGTGTAACTGACCAGCAGTCCCTCCTGGTAAGAGACCACCGACCACAGAGTGGTTCTGCTCAGTCTATGGGGGCTGCACATAGAGGGACTCCGTGTCCTCTGCTTCACCTTTTGATGTACAGGGCCTAATTGTAAGACATTTAAATGTTAGGTCTCCACTCCAAAGTGAACTTGGGATGTGTGTTACATACATGTTAGCCTACTACGCATGTGTGAACCACCTCTTCATGAATATTCATAGCTCCTTGTATACTCTGTTGCATATAGACATTAAATAAGAAATGTCCGATTTCAAATCAATGTAATTTGTTATATCTCAAACAAGAAACAGTAAAAATAATCAAAGTATGCACCTAAACTATTGACACAGTTTTGCCATCTTAACGGTAGCTTGTTTATGCCAGCAGCAAAGAAGCCTGGAGAGCGCAGAGTGGCGATGAAATTGTGAAAGGCGTTTTTCACAGCTTGTTGAGAGTTGAATATTTTTCCTTGCAGGAAGTGGTCGAAAGCCTGGAAGAAGTGGTAGTCAGTTGGTGCAAGGTCTGGTGAATACGGTGGATGACAGAGAGTTTCCAAGTCCGGCTGCTGTAGTTTGAGCAGCGTTGTTTGTGCGATGTGGTCAAGCATTGTCTTGCAAGAGGATTGGCCTGTCTCTATTGACCAGGCTCAGCTGCTTAATCACAAGCATCCTCATCATTTCATCCAATTGGTTGCAGTAGACATCTGCTGTGATCAATTGACCAGATTTCGTGAAGCCGTAGTGGATAATTCCAGTGCTGGACCACCAAACAGAGACCATTAGCTTTTTTTGATGAATATTCAGTTTGACACTGTGTTTGGCACTTCGTCTTTATCCAACCAATGTACCAAATGCTTGCAATTGTTAAAAAGAATCCATTTTTAATCACACATAACTATACGGTATAGAAATGGCTCACTTTTACGTTGTGACAGCAAAGAAAGGAAAGCTTCGAGACAATATCTCTTCTGATGTTCATTTAATTCGTGCGGTACCCATCTACCCAGCTTCTTTACCTTGCTGATCTATTTCAAATGGTCCAATGTTGTTGGACTAGTAACGTCAAACCTTGCTGCTAATTCACAGTTAGGTTGAGATGGATTTGCTTCTGGCGTAGCTTTCAACTCATCATTATCCACCTTGATCTCAGGTCGCCCACGTGGCTCATTTTCAAGATTAATATCACCAGAACAGAGCTTCTCAAACCATCGACGTACTGTATGTTCATTAGCTGCATCCTTTCCAAACACCTTGTTGATATTTCAAGCTGTCTGCGCTGCATTGGTTCCACGAAGGAACTCATATTCGTAAATAACATGAGTTTTTTACTTATCCGTGGTCTCACAAAAATTGCTCTAAAAAATTTGAAAGATAATCACAACCAAAAACATGTGTTTGAAAGACTGAGAATGTCCCTTCACAATAAACATAAAACAAGAAGTGTCAAAGTGAAATGTCAGAGATATCAACGGTCAAACTTAGTACTTAAGGGAATCAGACAGTTCATGCTTAATAACCTAATACAAATCCACCCTGCTCAGCATAAATTCTTGTTTCCTCCAAGTGCCTGCACTTGGCTTCTGCCTGGGGCTGTGCTTCCCAGCCTGACAGAAGGGCGAGCCTGCAGGCTGCAACCCTCCATGAGCAATGAAGCTCTCCTTCCCAAATTGATGAGGTTCATGATTCTTCGGTTGACATGAGCTTTGGAAAATTTATCAGCCCTGGAGAGATGTGAGCATGAGCCTTCAGTGACATCCCTGTACCCATGCCCCAGGGAAATTATTTAAAGGCATTTTGTTTTTAATTTCCTTCCTCATACTTTCCGGACTGCCTGCTAAATTTCCTAAAATTGTTACCACATCAGACAATCTGGTTGAAAATTTTATTTTTTTATTTTTTGAGACAAGGCCTTCCTCTGTCGCCCAGGCTGGAGTACAACGATGTATGTGATCATAGCTCACTGCAGCCTTAAACTCCTGGGCTCGAGTGATCCTCCTGCCTCAGCCTCCCAAAGCCTGAGATTACAGGTATGTGCCACCAAGGGCACCATATGCCTGGCCTGGTTCATTTTTATGTAACCAAGTTGTGACTTGTTTTTCAGTTGCTGTGGACCCCCAGGTTGAAGGTCACAGAACCTGAGCATGCCCAGATGAACTCAGCGTGAATCACAGGTGGAACCTAAGTGCTTGCACTGAGCAGCTGGACTGAATTAAGAAGACACAGGATCCAAGGTCCAATCAGATCACGCCTCATCAACCTGTGACCACAAAGCCTGCTCTAAGCCCCAGCTCGAGGAGACAGGTTTGAGCCAGACTTGTGTCTGCTTGCTGGGCCGGTTAGCAATAAGCCTTTCTCAGTGTGAACACCTGGTGCCCCGGTGGGTGTTAGGCCTTATGCTGTGCACAAGCAAACGGACCCGGGTTGGTTTGGTAACACCACAAGTTGCACGATGTGACCCTCACCCATTATCTTCATGTTCCTGGAATTTGTGATACAAAGAACAATCATGGCCAATCAATAGCTTATGCTATTTTAATGAACCAATGTAAATTCTTGGTAAACAACTTAGGAACTGCCCCCTTAGTTTTTTTCCCTTTGCAAACCCACTTGTAACTGCCGTTAATCAGAGCACGTATGTTCAGAGCAACTTGAATCTGTGAAACTAAGTTTTAAAATAATTCAAGAGCTAAGCTGCTGGAACTTTATTTTGAGCCTTAAGGAATGTGATTATGGGGCCTGGGGCCTAAGTCAGTGACAGGCAGCAGTAACTGTTGTTTCTCTGATTGTAGACTAGCCTTCTTACCTATATTGTTTTATAAAATGTTATAAGTGACATAAGGGTGCCAGGGAACACCACTTCCCTCTTCACCGTTGATCTTCATTGTAGGTTAACTTTCCTCTTTTCTTTCTCACCAGAGATTTCATGATTATCACATTGTCTAAGATGGATTTTTTTTTTTTTTGTGACAGACTCTCACTCCTTTGCCCAGGCTGGTGTGCAGTGGTGTGATCACAGCTCACTATAGCTTCAAACTCCTGGGCTCAAGGAATCCTCCTGCCTCAGCCTCCCGAGTAGCTGGGACTACAGGTGCATGCCATTATGCCCAGCTAATTTTTCTATTTTCAGTAGAGACGGGGTCTCGCTCTCACTCAGGCTGGTCTTGAACTGAGCTCAAGCAATCCTCCCGCCTCGGCCTCCCAGAGTGCTTGGGTTCCAGGCGTGAGCCACCGCGACTGGCTAAGATGGAATGTTAAATATGTGACTATCACATTTTCTAAGATGAAATGTGAAATACATCTTTTAAATTGAAAAGGAAATGAAAAGAAGCTGTATGGAAAAGAAAACAAGCTGTAATTAAATTGTTGTAACTTATAAGCCAGTCTTACGTAGAAAATACTATCATCCTACTAAATTTGTCTCCTGCCTATATAAGCAAAGCTTTAGCTTTTAACTCTAGGGCACTAACCCCATTTCTCTGGAGTCTGTGTTTCCCAGATAACTATTCC